CGTGTCATTTATCTCGTGGCTTGCAATGAGCCGCGGCTTGTCAATAACACAGACCAGCGTCATCCACTCCAGCCCAACATGATGAATGTTGAAGACCTCTTACCAGCGTCATCCACTCCAGCCCAACATGATGAATGTTGAAGACCTCTTACCTGCGTCATCCACTCCAGCCCAACATGATGAATGTTGATGACCTCTTACATGCGTCATCCACTCCAGCCCAACATGATGAATGTTGAAGACCTCTTACATGCGTCATCCAACTCCAGCCCAACATGATGAATGTTGAGGACCTCTTACATGCGTCATCCTCTCCAGCCCAACATGATGAATATTGAAGACCTCCTACATATGCGTCATCCAACTCCAACCCAACATGATGAATGTTGAAGCCCTCATCCTTGCGTGATGGATATTGACTGTTTCGTACCTGCACCGTGCAACTCCTACCCTACATGATGAATGTTGACGCCTCATATAACCTGTGCTGTACAACTCCAACCCAGTATGATGAATGTTGACGGTCTCATACCTGCGCTGTGCAACTCCAACCCAACACGATGAATATTAATGGCATATAATCGCAAACGTGCGATTGACTCATGCTTCAGTGATTTGGTATGCTGTGAATATTCCTAACTATGTGCATCATTCGTATAGGACACGCTCTAAAATGGTAACATTTTAGAGCGTGTCCTATACGTCCTATAGGACACTGCAGGGTCTCTATTCTGAAATGCGAGCTCTTTAATAAGAGAAAAGTTTCTCAAATTATATACAAGTTATGTTACATACGTTCTCAAATGTATATGCTTCTTTGAAACCTTTGAGTGAATAATTATATCTCTATTTCTTAATGGATTTTCTTCGTACCTAAGTACACATTTTCCTAGTACAACAAAAGTACAATAAAAAGTTTTCTAAATTCAAATATTTGAAAACAATTAAGTGATAATTTAAAAATTAACACATTTTCTTGGAAAAGAACATTTAAATTATTTTTTGCCTGCAATTGCAAAGGACGCGTGATGTCCGCTATACATAGGGCCCTATTACTTCAGAAATTTAATGCCTTCTTATCAAAGCTTTTATTGAATTAAAAAAAATTTTAAGTAATGAAATGCGCACTTGAATGCGTTGGAAACTCACTCATCGAGAAGCTCTCGAACTTCTGACGTCCCACCTAAATTAAGCTTCCATGACTTAGTACATCATTCCTTCTTACTCTAATGAACAATAATATAATTTATGCATATGTTCAGTTTAGTTCGTTTTTTCCCAACGAGTTGAAAATGTATCATTCACTAGTATCAGCCTAGTTACGATCAAATTATTAATTTGTTAAAGAAACTTGGGGTGCTGACAGAACACAAACACGAGGGTCAATGACGAAAGATTCGAGATGAAACGAATGTCTAAATTTATTGCATGAATATAACAACCTTCAATTCATTGTTAAATATCTTCCAATAATATTGTAAATTGACTGTACAGTATCGAACACTCGATTATATAAAAAAAGAAATGATGAACTTTACAGAAGAGAAAGCTTACGCTAAAATTAAAGATATCGTGAAATCAATAAATATATTTTACTTGAACAAACTAGCAACGGAATTCTTTCATGTTCTTTCACATTAATTATTATCTTACATGGGATCAAATCTTTTTTAAATTAGGCGGTGTAAACATTTTTATTACAAGGGAATCCACTTCGCATTCCTGACTTATTTTTCTTGACATTCATTTATCTCTAATAATATGTATTCACATTTTTGTGATGAGTTATCTCTCAAAAACGTTATCTGCGAAATAATTTTTCTGTTGTTCATGCAATTAGATGATTCTATGTTGGGCTTGAAAATTGAGATTGTTTTATCCATATGGAATTTAATAATTTCCTTTTAACCGAATTTAATGAGTTAAATTACTTTTTAAGTCACCGCTCCCTCAACTACGGTTAAAATTAGCTCTTCTACAACCCTATGCGTTATATAATATTTTTGTCGAGAAAATCAAAGAGCAAATAAAACTATCAAATAAATAAATCATCTCATCTGTCGCTGTCGCTTAGGTAAATTATTTTATTCGAACTTGAAAGATATTCTAGCAATTGAAATTCAGCATTGACGAGACTGAAACAACTAATTAGCTTCTATGCTAACTCTTCGAATATCTTCAAATAACACACTTTGTACCGTCGATTGAATTTTTGAGAAATCGGTGAAATGGGTTCAGAAAAAATTCTAATTACGATTCAAGAATCCGGAGCAATAGTCATTCTGCATTAATCAATGTTATGCGGTGGTAAAACACCAAATAACTAATTAACAACAATTAAACTCTCTGAAAAACTCTGTTATTGGCATATGTACAACAGTGAATTTTTGTCTACGGTTAACAACTCATTTCCCGCTTAAACTTCAACGCGATACATACGTAACTTTAGCCGTAAAAGTTTCTTCGCCGTTTTGAATTTTATCTGTCGATTGATTGCTTATTCTTCCAGAATTTTCATCAAGATTTTAAAAGCTACGAAAACAGTCAAAAAGTTCACCATTTTTTATGCGACAAAACGTTTTGGAGTCCAGCTCCATCGTCAGTTGAAAAACCTAAAACACAAGTATAAATAAGTAGCAAACTAAAATACACATTGAATGTAATAAAAGATAACTTTTCAAATGAAAACAAATGATAATGAGGTAAACATGAGCAAACAAACCTATCTATTTACAATTTCGAGGGGATATGAACTGTAGGCTGCATTTAGACTAAAATATTGCTTAAAAATATACAGGAGCTCTGAAATTCGCGTCAAAAAACGTTTTTTCGCATTAGCAATGGTGAATTTTTTAGCTGTTTTCTTTGCTATAAAGTTCTTGATAAACTTGAGATTTAAGCAATCAAGTGATCTTAATTCAAAAATGTCCGGTTAGTTATAGTTAGCCATCTTAATTACTCAGTCTAATATTTGGTCTCTAAATAATTATAACTTCTTATCTAAATTTTTAGCACGAATTCAATTTTCAAACAAAAGACTTTTTGCCATTTAAATTTGATTGCACATGCATCAACTTCAAACAAAAATTTAAAGAGCAATTTCTTTGCGAATAAATTTACATGGAACACTCGTTTTGATAGCAAAAAGAAAGATGTAGAGTTAACTTCCTCCTGGTTTTTCTCGATCAAAACTTCTCGTATCCAATGTTCCGCAAAGTAATGGGTTTAAACAAAAGTGCCTGTAACTGCAGGTCTTTAGCTTGAACGTAATTGAGCTCGCATTTGAAAAAGAAATATTTTCAGATTCGTGGCTTTGCTGCAGTCAATCTTCGATACTTGTTCGGAGAACAAAGCAATCATCAGTCACAACGTAAAAAATGAAACAGGTTCGTTTCAACTCAAAAATATTTTTGCATTTAAAATTAAAGAGAAGCAAATTTTTTTCCACGTGCTGCAAACGTTTAATTAAGTGCACAACAAATTCAGCATAGAATATATTCTTAAATAAATTCTGAGACTCCAAACGATGTTATGCTCACTTTGTTTTTTATGTCATGTTGATAATTAGTCTAAGATTATAAAATATTTATGTGAATTTTCGCAGCCTGGAGCGAAAAATAAAGACCGTTTTAGATGTGGGTGCACTGAGATTGTATATAAAATTACTACACATATTATTTACTGTTACACTATTCACTTCATAAACTTCTAGTTCCCTAAAATTGAAAATAGCAAAACTATCTTAAGCTTATCAAGTTCACTCTCTCACATCTATTTAGACATGAATAATTATTTAGCTGAACTAATGAGCTGCGTTTGTCGTCAACGACATCTTTTTATTTACAAGAGGTAACAAAATGCTATTGATAAAATGTATGTGTACAATAAAATTAGACTCACATGTATCAATTTCTTACACATAAAGACGAATGAAAGGTCAACAACAATCAAGCATTATTACATGCCCAATAAAGGGGATATTGACAAATCGGAGAAGCTGTAATGAGGCTTCTTATGGGTATTTTCATATAACAGTTCTTTGACTTTAATAATTGATACTGATTGTTTTTGCCATCAATATAACAAGTAGTTAATTTAATCTATGAATAACAACTCAGAAGCTATCACTTCATAATTTTTTGTGTTGTGTCGCCGCATGGTCTTCATATGAAAATCTGGAAGATAATTTTGTATTTGATTGTGAGCCATTCAAGTCTAATGCAATGGTTCCGAGAGCGGCATAATGGAAGACCAAGTAATTCTGTGATGAATGCTAAAGCAACGTGATGTTTGATATTTTCTGCTAGGAACGTAAACTAACGTACTGGTAATTCAAGGAAGTTCATAAGTGGTAATTAATCATTATAATTTGTTCAAATGCCTCAACTTATTATTTCGACAGAAACTGGATCTTATATAAATGGAGGCCTATTTGCTTTCTTTTCGCTCCGCTTCCGAAAGATTTTGTTTTATTAACTATCAAATCAGAAATACGAAAATAAAAAAGCAACGTAAAAAGGAACGAATGCGGGTAACCTATTTTCTGACATTTAAATCCTCCAGGACTCTTCGACTTTGTGCTTGACTTATTGGTCATTGTTTTAAAGTTATAATAGTTGGGATTGCACGCTAAGAATTCAAATTAAAAACATTGCGTATCAAACCTGACACGCCCATGCAAACCAAGCAAGGGACTGACCATGCCCTTGACAGCGACGAATGACATTTTTCTCTAAACTGTTATTAATTTGAATAGGAGTGTCGATTGATCCTAATTAACAAAAATTTTAATTTTGCACTGCAAAATATAACTGCATGGTTTACATTTACAATCAAACTATAACCTCATAAATTTGAGGCCTTCGAAACCTTAACCACTCTGCCTATCTGACTTCTAATAGCCATTTCATTTTTCAGCGGATGAATTCGGATGAATAGTCATTTCATTTCTCAGCGGATGAATTGATCATTTCACAACAATCACGAGCGAAAATTTTTTAATACTTTGACATTCGATGATCAGGTTATTAAAGATAAGTTTTCAGTACTTTTTCGTCGACCAACTCTTTGGCTATGTACAATACATTTACACTCATATTTCTTACGAACGTTTTGTATGTACACTGTACAATATGTTGAAAGATTCAACCAAGTAAAAAATATGAGCTTCGCGACCTTATCGAATCAAGGTACTCAATAAATGACTGTTGAAAAACAGCTTCTGCCACGGATGAACACGCTTTTTTGTTCTTGGCAAATTAACACTTGCGCAATAGCGTGTAGAAACACTGCTTTGTAATAATAATGTCATCACAGACACACATTTAGCCAAACGAGACGAAACTTTCAGCGGATAACTAAAGGAATGTGAGGTGTGAATTCGGCGATGACGAAGCAGGATAGAGATCGGGGAGAGAAGAAGTAAGGGGCGGTGTTTGAACTTGAGACTCTTGAGCTTTGTCGGACTGACGTTTGAGTGCGTGTTGTGTTTGCTGCTGTTGCTGTGTGTGCTCTTGTTGCTGAATTTTTTTGATTTGTGAATGCTTTACTGGTTGAAGAGAAAAATTTCCTACAGGACACGACTGAATGCTTGACTTATTTTCTTGTGGATTGTGCAGAAGTGGAGAATGATGAGCGAAGTGGCACTGCGTCTTGTTATTGAAAGTTGAAACCCCGTGTGATGTAACTGGACTTTGTACTGTGACGATAACGTTCGCTGTCGTGCTTGTCCACGAGGAAACAGGACTGGGGACATTAGCCGGCGCAGGCGGCAACGTCAAATCTAAAGGTAATTGTCATGGATGCATGGAAGCAATTTGATCCGAGTCCACGCATGACGACACCGTGTAGTCTGGAGGCCAGTCCTGAGGACAAGCCAGGGATCGTAAAGTATCTGAGGAAGGGAGAGTCTCGCAGTGAGACGGAGATGACCCAGCAGTAGGGCCTCTATTTCGTCCTGAGTTATGACCTTCTGATTTAGACGCCACTCCTCTCCGGTAATGGAATGCTGCCAAAACCAGGATGTTAAGCAGTAGCAAAGAGATGCCCAAGGCTGCGGTGAGGCTGAGCGCAGTAGTGTAGTGGACATCATCCATAAAACTCTCTTTGCCTGTCACCTGGACGGCTTCGATGGTATCCATCATATCGTGGATGCTCATAGTGGGGTTCGTCATGTTACTTAAGTCGCTATTGAGGCCACTATCTGGGTGGTGAGGATCTTTTAATGTTGGTGTTCGTGTTGAAGTTAAAGGAAGCAAAGCCCTAGGTCGGGTTGGCCCTGAAAATGAGTCGGAACTTGCGTATGCGTCATGGAAAGATGAATCAGGACCAAATCTTGAGCCCACTTTCTCGAGGGCTGGCAACAACCAAGTCCAGAGGGCCACTTGAGGAGCCCTGTAGTGGTCACGCACTCTGCCCCTGCCTGGGCCTGTTACAATAACACGCAATTCAAATAAATGTAAATTCCAAATATTTTGGGTAGACTGAAAATAAACCAATATAAATTAGGAATTGAACTCGGTGTAGCTTATAATATTCCATAATACTTGTTTAGGATATATGCCCAGGACTTAAATTTATTTTTCTGTCAAGCATTTTACTTATTTAAAAAAAATCTAATTAAAATAAAGTAACACGAGGAATAAAACAGTACAACGAAAAGTGATTTTCATTTTTAAGCCATTAATCAATTTCTTTATTCTATCTTGAACGTTACCAGCAGCTTACCAAGCTCGAGGTACTTCTTGTGTTCGATGTCGTAAGGCTCCCACGAGGTAGCGCGGTACTGGGAGCGGTCGTGGTCGGCCGCGGCAGGCACGGCACTCGAGTTGTACTCCACGCCGTTGGGGTCCCTAATATAAAACCATTCATTACAAGCCATTAAAGTAAAAGTAAAGGATAAAAGTTAATTAAATTAACTCTTATTTAATTAACCAAAGGTAATTAATTAAAAAGGATAAAGTAATTAAAGGATAAAGTAAATTTAAAATACATATAAACAGCTTCGAAGATTGCCTATATACTAATCATATTTTATTATATATTAAATAATATCAACAATATTAAATAATATTTTATTTCTCTTCGTTGATAGCTTCGAAGAGGACGAAATGTGATCTAATAATTTCTAGTATAACTAATGAATATTGAGAAGAAAAGTCGTGGTGATTGTTGAATAATAAGTAAAAAGACTCAATATTGCAGGACATTGTGGCGTGGAAATTTTAATAACTAGAAGAAAACTTATCTAAAGAAAAATACAACTCAGTACCAAATTTTGAGTTATATTTTATTCCTGAAAAAGAAAGTCTCTCAATGAATAATGAAGATGATGCTTAATTATATTTATCCTGCCGGAATAAAAAGGTAAATAAGCATATCAAAATGCCTATATAAGATCAGCGTAGCCAGAAATATCTCAACAAAACATCTATGGTCATGTGACCGACATTTTCTTATTCATGAGTTCGCGATTATTTAACTCAGGCTTGAAAAAAATATGTAAAATCATATATTTTTACGATGGACAAGAAACAACGACAAATGAAATATGTACTTTCTAGCGAGCGCATATTTCACGATAAAATTTTTAGAATTTTGATTTCCTCTGGCTTCAAATGTTTCGATCGAAAAAATCGCGTTAATTTGAAATGTGAAGTGATCGTTGATCAACTGTACTTATTTTATATATTTTTCCGCTCTATTTAGTTGTTTCATTAAAAATAAACGAAGACTCTTCGAACAAAGGATTTCTAGCACGTACTCCTATAATTCACCCGATTTAGATTTGAGAATTATTATGATAGCAGGAAAGTTGATGTTGACCGGATGAAGATCATTGCGGATTGAATAAATATTATGGATAATCCCATTAATATCCGGATATTTAAATGTGTTACCAGATATTTTAAAATAAGGCCAATTCTTGTAAACCGCATTTATAGCGCAGGTTATATGAATATGGAACATCTTGATACCGCCTTGTCGTAGGTATAGTGGCAAATAAAGGATGAATAAAATGATGATAAAAACTGTAATGAAAAAACGGTAAATACAAGAAATCAAATCGACAAAAGAAACCGTGCGTTTCCTTATTTCATGTTTTACTTTCGGATTAGAGATTCGGAGCCTTTCTGGAATATAGAAATAAACCCAAATTTAGGATTAGAAATAATTAGCTAAACACTGAATATGGAACCGAACACTATACACGTGAATAAATAACATATATACATTTATCCTTAAATTAACGACAGTAATTATTCAAGCACCACTCAATTTACACGCATATTCTAATCTCTAATATTGCCAGAACCAATGGGACCTCGTACATCTGTGGTGGATCATGCAACAATGACATATAAGAAAACATTCATGGGCGAAGTCATAGCGGTGGTTAATCAAAAATAAAATGATTAATATCACGAATCCTATTGCAATCCCTAACAGCCTATCTGCCCTCAACTGAAATACAGGTCAATTCAATTCAGTTTCCGGCAGCTGTATTTTTATTAGAGTGAAAAATATTCCGATTGATATAACACTCAAATTCAAATGAAGCCTTTGAAGCTCGAAATAGTTGTAAAAATATTTCACTGTAGATTCGAAAGTCTATGTTAACAATATTTTTCCCGCAAAGACGCTCTATTTAAAAATTAATTTTAGCATTCGAAACCTTAAATAAAAAGGTTTGAGCAATGAATTTTACGCTAGAGTGGTAGGTAATACGTGCCTCAGAAATGCACGTGTTATCACTTATATTAAAAATGAAAGGAAAGAAATGAGACCAAAGAGTCGGAAATTAAGAATAATAAATTCAAATTTGAGTTCATATGCCACAGTATTTATTTACGCTTGCGACATTGCAATTTTTCATATAAAAATCGCGCAAAAAAAATCATACCAGGATAAATTATTGTGGTTGCAAAATTTAGTAAAGTACGTTGAAGCGTTCTTTACTCTACTTCAACTGACAACTTTATACTGAATTAGCCTTTGGCTAATTTGAATTTGTCATTCCTCTTCAATTATTATTATTTATTACGGACCAGAGGGATCCTCGCAGGGATTTTCGGAAACAAAAAAAAAACAGAAAATTTCTGTTCTGTTTTTTCTCAACCTGCGAAAAAACCTCGACCTTCTCCTATCTAAATGAAATATTAAGATCCATTTTCTACCCACTATATCATGTAAAAATTAGTTTCCTGAAAAAAATTCTACTGTTCCATATTAAAATTAACGCAGGAGAACTAAAATTGTGCCAGTTAGCCTCAAATTTCAAGATTTTTCCTTACTAGAGTCAGTAGGCAAAAAACTCACCCGGTCCTGGCAAAGTTGGCCCACAGCTGAATGACCACTTCACTCAAGAGTTTGTCTTGCTTTGTATAGTTCCTGGGCGGCTGGAGAGGATGGTTGGCACCCAGCGGACTCCCAAGCAGCAAGTCGAGCTCCGTCAAAGGTGCCTGAGACTGGACAATAAAACAAATGAGACTTCGTCATCAATTTATGCAAGACCAAGTCTAAACGGGAAAAGTTTGAGAGATCAATCTTCTGACAGCTCAATTCTGTGATCGATGGATCTACTTGTAATTTATGACGAACTCTTGAAGACTAGAATCGATAATAAGGAAAATAAATTTTGTCGCTAGGTAATAGAGCTGGCGCTCTTCTCCAAATACATATAAGAAATACAGCAAGGAAATTACTCACATTTATTGATTCCTATTGAATTCAAATTGAAAAATAGAGAGTAAAACGCTTCCTTTTCGTTTGTGTTATTCGATGTTTTTTGTCTGCCCTCCCCAGCCCATTGCTTTCACGCGTTTCTGCTCCTCACGCGTTGAAAAGCGAGAGCTTGCCAGCCACGTCTTCTATTGTTCATCGCTTGCAATAGAGCGATCTCGTTCAGCCATCTCGAAGAGATATATTGCTGCCGTATTGACTCTTGGTTGGATGCGCGACAAAAAATAATCAATTTATCTCGAAGTGTCGCGATTACTGCGAACAAAAACGTCACTCTACATTGACAGGCAATGACAATAAATAAATGACATGATCAATTTTTTTTCGAAAGTACTGAAAATTTTCGGTGGAAATCACTTGGTTGCTGTAAGTTCAAGATGTGACCATACCACTAATTATCCTTAATTCTAACAAGCATGAAATCATCAAAGGGACTAAATAATGACAATTTGAGGAGTGACGGCACGGAAATTAACAAGGACACAATTAGTCGAACCTGTTGTCCTCAATTAAAAGAGTCCCAACAAAAATCCCTCGCAATGCTGCAGATCGATTAAAAATATGCTGACGAGACTATAGACGAGTCTTCCCATTCACGGATATGGCCTCGTGGTCTGATGCAACAAAAATAGAATGGATTTTGGCAACGGTGCGCTTATTTTTCGGGGAAAGAAATAAAGCGAGATCGCACGTGTAGGGACGAGAAAAGTAATAAATTCTGCATTTAATATCCCGTCTCTCCAGACGCGTTTTGTGCAGAGATGTTGTCAGGGATATTTTGCTTCTCACATTTGGAATATTCCACTAAACAATGCCGCCATATTTCATCTCACTCATTAAAGAAATATATGATACACAAACAAATTCGAAATCAAATCCATGTTCGAGCAATTATTTTTCAACCCAATCTGCCCTAATTGCATTTTTGTATTGAGGTTTCAGATTCAATAGTTGAAGCTTGATTGTATGCAATAAATTTCATATGTCATTGCAATTTAGAGTAACAATAGATGCATGAACACAGCCGTTAAAATTTCCATTGTTGGGACAGCGCCACGAACCCATTGAAAGATTATTGGGCGACCGATTCATTGCAGTCCGTTCGTTTTAATTCATTCGTAATTTACGCCGTCAGGACCAATCAACGGTGGAGCATCGATTCTTTTGTCCGTGTGGTCGGCATCCTGGCTATTACATTACAACCAATTAAACAAGACATACGTTTTAATGAACACCTGCAGAGATTTGACGAATGTGAGACAACGATGGAATAATACAATACGTTTATGTTACACCTGTTAATTTACTAAAAAAGAGTTCGACATCGTTGATTATTCGCTGAGGGCTTCTATGAAAATGATTTTCAACCTTTTAATTAGTGTCGGTTGCAGCTGAAAATTATTGAAAATTGGAAGATGATAAAAATTTTACCATCCAAGTTCACCTGATGTTTTCTAAGAAAAATTATGTAGTGATTCAAATAAAATTTCCATGCCTTCATTTTTCCTCCATATATATATATTTTTTTTTTGCTGTGGGAATTATGTCACGTATTCAAACACATAACCTCGAGACGTTGCATGACTTCAAGCTGAACCCACCGCGTCGTAGATCTGCATCAGAGAGGCGTAGCTGGGATAAAACCCTATGGTTGTCGGCATTATTTATGAGCGCAGGGCTTCGCCAAATATCGACGCCAAACGTCCAAAAAGGTTGTTAGCAAAGACTTCATGACCACACAATTTCCTTCTGCGAGCGACACTAATTCTTATTGCACTCTTAGATTGCTGCTTTCAGAGACGAGGAAACTCTTGGCTCCAACTCAAGCAGATATTTTTATTTCCCCGCAAAGGCTTACACCAGCCATTCTCTTCAAGCATCGAATTGTTATTTCTTCAGGTTAGTACCATTCAATCGCATACAATGTCTTTATTGAGCCTCCGATATACGCAGTTCTGTCTTTTCGATTGTATAATTATTGATTGTCATGGCTAGGTTAAGAAACAAATTGAATTTCTTCAATCATTCAAAGTTTCTAAAAATTTTCAAGGCGTTGATCATTTAAGAAAACAGACTGACATTTTTAATTAAAATTAAAATCTTCAGTATTACGTGTGCACATTCATTTATAAGCGCTTTGTTGATTTGTCTAGCACATACATAAAGGGTGATGTGGAAAATGCATACCTGATCTCTGTGTCTGTTGTCGAGCACATGCAAGAAGCTGATGCTTTAATGCATACCTGATCTCTGGGTCTGTTGTCGAGCACGTAGAAGAATGTGTTGCATTAATGGATTCCTGATCTCTGGGTCTGTTGTCGAGCACGTAGAAGATACCCAACACCCCGACCGCTGGCTTGGACTCCCCCAACACCCCGACCGCTGGCTTGGACTCACCCAACACCCCGACCGCTGACTTGGACTCCCCTAACACCCCGACCGCTGGCTTGGATTTACCCAACACCCCGACCGCTGGCTTGGACTCCCTCAACACCCCGACCGCTGGATTGGACTCCCCCAACACCCCGACCGCTGGCTTGGACTCACCCAACAACCCGACCGCTGGCTTGGACTTACCCAACACCCCGACAGCTGGCTTGGACTCCCCCAACACCCCGACCGCTGGCTTGGACTCACCCAACACCCCGACCGCTGCTTATACACATCTAGATGTGTATAAGAGACAGGTGTTGCATTAATGGATACCTGATCTCTGGGTCTGTTGTCGAGCACGTAGAAGAATGTGTTGCGTTTAGCGGAGCTGAAGCTGTTGGCTGCCGTGAGCGCCGGGGCGACAAGGGACGCGTCGTGTAGCGCCTCAGCGGTCATGTCGCGCAGGGCCAGCGGGTGTTGCGAGGGGCGCGCCCAGTCGGTGTACTCTGCTGTGATCGCGAGCACCAGCTCCTGGGATTGTGAGAGACGAAAAAGTTAAGTGGATAGTATTTGTGAGGTATGTTTTTCATGTGGAACGAAGCAAAGGTTTCATAAAGAAAACCTCGAATGAAATTCCCATATAACTAATACAAATCCACCTTATGCTCCCTTGAAAAATTAAACGCGCTTTAAAAGTTGCCAGTATTCCTATTGACGCACGACCTATAAATTTATTCTCCAACGCTTGGATTATGGAGAAATTTTCCCACATTGTAAATAAAATTTTGACCAACAATGTTCTTATAAGCAAAAGATAAATTAGGATGTGGTAACAGTCTTAACTTATTTCAAAATAAAATGTTTCATTTTAAATTTTTTAAACTAAGAATTTTGCAACAACAAAATACAAAACAACATTGCAGAAAATACTCAATAATATTTTACACATTTAAAGGACCTGGCGTTCAATCAAACCCAAACATAACGAATATTGTGTTTTAATTTTCGCTTGGCCTGATGTTCTTCACACAGCTTATTAATAAGATTTTGTTAATGTCAAAAGTGCTCAAAAGAGTGAGATTTTTCTGAATATAACAGAAATAGAGCAATATAAAATATAACAGAAATAGCCTGCTGTACAAAGTATAATAGAAATAGCCTGCTGTAAAGTATAACAGAAATAGTCTGATGTAAAATACAACAGAAATAGAGTGTTGACAAATACAACAGAAATAGAGTGATGACAAGTACAACAGAAATAGAGTGATGTGTTCGGCCGAATGGCTTAGAATCGATGGTCTGAAGACGCCGGGACAACATTCTTAGCACTTTCTGTCAGCTCAGAAGATAATCCCACTCTCAAGACCCGGACTCTGTCAGCTCACTTCTATTATGTGGCAGGCCCAGAAAACGACGCCTCATCTTTCTAGGACGAAATATAAAGTGCTTCATACTTCAAAGCTCCCTCGTTGCGATACTCGGGAATCCCGGTGCTCCAGATGAAAATTAAAATGTGCAAGACTTTTTACAATGCAGTTTATGTGCAATAATATTGCTAAAGATTTCTTCTCCAATTAGATTTCGTACACATTTTCAAAAAGTTTACAGGTGCACGACATACGTTGAATAATTAAACTTATGCTTTTGCTTTCTTCGATTCATGCGTAATGAAAACTAGTTCTTTCCATTCAAACTTCTATTTTAAAATAATGCAGCTAATATAAAATCACGCTTACTAATGACGCGTGCGCAGTGAAACCACTTAAAATAAAACCCATTCAGAAATACTCTCGACTACATAAATGTAGCGATTTAGAAGTCATTTAGTTTGTACTTTAGAGACGAAAATTAAAGTGACAAAAGGTCCACATATCTTCTACGTTAAAATTTCACAACATTGCTCCTCACAATAGTTAAAGAAGTAGTCTCACCTGCAGATGGTAGTGGTAGTTATTCGCTACAAACGTCCTGACGAGTTTATCTCGAGTGTTCGCGTCGATGCCTTTCTCCTCTTGTTCTTCAGTGAAGATCTTGTCACGCATCACTTCCGAAACGCCCAGGAGTACTTCAACTTGAGTCTTGCCGTCCGAACCTAAGACCACTCCATTTTATTACCGAATGTATTGGCACGATGTAGGTCAGTACAGTATCAAAAGTTTTGTCGGAGATAAAAGAAAACATTCGGTACCTGATGTCCCAACGTAAAGCTGTAAATAATTTTTAAGATACATCTTGATACATATGAATCGATATGAAAATAAATGTATTCGAAATATTAGGAATGGAGTGCAAAGACCGACGTCCGAACTTGCAAATTCCGTTGGAACAATTTTTTTACAACCTACGTTTCGCAATTGTATAATGGTAGCGAATCAAAAATCTTCCAGCAGCTAGAAAATTCTACGAAATTTCATATAATTTCTTCCATTGATGCGTTTTGAACATTCTATTTAACGAAAAAATTCATCATATCACTTTGCACAGATCGAAAAAAATCGCATTGCCAAGCAGCCAAGCAAGACGAGAAGAAACCGTATAAAGCGAGGGAGTTATTTTTTAACCACCCGATATTTTCCAGAATTTTTAGAGTGGATAGATATAATTTCGAAATGAATGTGAATTTGTTGTGAGGCTTTCCTTTGTAATATTGCATCGTAATAATTGACAATATAAAAGACATGAAAAATTGCGGAAGTCATGCAAATTTCCCGACAAACTTTAAATTATTTTCTCGCAATAAATGATTATGTTCGTAACATTTTCAGGATTCTATTGAAGAAAAGTTTCGGCTTTAATGTGAGCAAGAGAAGAAAACTGGGTCTATAAAAGCGAAAAGTTTGAAGGGGAAGTTTGAAGAGGAGGATTCTCGGGGAAAGAAGAAAACCCATGAAAAGTTCCTGACAATTTCGTGAATAACGAGTGTGCGAGCCACGTGGCCAACATTTTTAGAATCATTTGTTGTTTTGTTGTGCCAGTTTACCTAATAAAAATCTAACTAGATCATTATTACTTAAGTTTTTTCTCAACCTAATTTGTGAATGCTAAAGACAAAACGAAATGATTAACGAGTTAATGAACGAGACGTGAAAAATCAAACAAATATTCGGACATCAAATATTTTTAAACACGATGGAATTCACACTCTCCCTGTCGGCAGCAGAAAAGCTCGTGTCTGGCTAATTTTTGGTCCCATCGTAGAGCTGTAGAGCTGTGGTGAGAAAGTCGAGGGCTTTTGCGGATTAGATTGCGTGCGCCTCGTACAAATTGTGCCTTACATTGCAAAACTTGATGACTATCGGCTTATTTGACCACTCGGATCAGCGCTATAGCAGTGGCAAATGTTCTGTGTAAATATTCCTTTTCTTACTTTCATGAACTCTTGCTGCGAATTAACGTATGATTGTGAAAAAAGATACTACTTATAGGAATGTTGTAAAAATAATTAGATGTTTTTCATCCGATTAAACTTCGGATTAATTTCGTCAGTTATACGCACGTAATTGGAAGCAAACAAGTTTTCCTAATGTCTTGTTGGGAAGTTCAGCATTTTTATTCCCAAGAGAAACTGCGGCCTCTGGGAATACGCATTAGTGAGTTCCTTCTCAGCTGCCTACATGGCAAGAGCGCGAAAATGACAACAAGAAAGAGACGAGCAGAGAAACATGGCTCTTTTTTGTTCATAATTCTCCGAATATTCAATGATAGCTTTTGTTGAAGTATGATATTCAAATTATTTCAGTGGGTTCATTGAATTCAGTTCTCAAATTTTTACGGTCCTTTTCATTCGAGTTTCTATGGGAAGGTCCGCTCAAGAACATATTATTTGTATATTCATATTTGTATATTCATAATAATATACAACATATTATTTGTATATTGTATATTCATATATTCATATTCATGACAAAAAATACATAGCTTCTGGAAAAATGTTTCATGTATACGCTCTAAATTCTGATATTCTATTCAAGAGGTGCTCTGTATCGCGGCAAATACCACGTGTCACGAACTTGTCTGCCATCATGCATTCTGAAGATAAAATGATCGACCACAACATCCACACTGTCAAACCTTCGAACTATTCATGACAAACGAACGAAAATAACCCGGCAAAATCATCCTAAGATTATCGTCAGATTCCAAAAGAAAAATTTCTGAACTATTTCATTCCCATCATTAGCTATTTTAGATTTCCCTATGCCTTGTAAAAATTCCAAAGCATTACCAATTGAGACCATTCCTGTTCTAAAACTTCATTCATGCTATAAAGCAATTACTACATGAACAATAATGATCACTTTATCACGGCAGCAGCAGCAGTTATCAAGCCTACGGAGAAACGAACAAACGTTCAAGGAAGAGACAGATCCTCTTACCCAGATTTGCCAGCCGTTGTCTCCAGTCTGGTTTGACTGTGACGCCGTCCTCGCTCGGACCGATGGCTGACAGGAATTGAGGTGAACTCAACTGCACCTTCAACGTTAAAGAGGAAAAGCTGTTAGAAAATCACAAGTCCTATTGGCTGGGAGGATATCTTCGGAAATCCATTGGTGAAAATTGGATGGATGGCCTCTACGCAATCTTGGTCACAAGACACACAAGCATAGGTGTTACTGCGAATAGTCCTGCTGTTGAATATAAAATGAAATTATGTATATTTATGTGCATCGCACAAAGAGGGCCGAGAGAGCAATTAATCAGCGTGATCGAATGATAAGCATCACCGCAACCGAATTGATAGACGTTCAACCAATTGCCACACATGTCCAGACGATTAAATGCTGCCCAATGTGACTGACCAAAAGGGTGATGATGGGTGAATTGATAATTCATATAACATAATAATTCATATAATAATTCATATAACATAATAATTCATATAACAATATAATAATTAATAAATTAATAACAGTACAAGAAAAGGAAAGATGAAATAGAATTTAGTGAATTATACGACATTGATGAGCGCTCGGCATCTCAAGAGATTGAAAATTCTTACTGGTCCTGAATATAGCCACTTGTAAATGAATAGGAAAACTGCATAACTAAAGTTGATGCTACAACCATCGAAGAGTTTTCATCATCCATCATAAAGGAAAGTCGTACCTTGAGAATTTGTTCGACAGATCTGTTCCTGATGCAGTGAAGAAGCTTTTCGTATGCAGCATGCGTGGCAGGCTGCTGAGGGAAGGGGCATGCGAGCTGCGTGGCCACTTGGTGGGCATAATGAGCAGGATCCCGCACCAGTGCCCACGGGCTCAGGGCCGTGCCCGACATCAGGACTACTCGCCGGAACAAACCAGAACCTGAGTAGATAAAAAAAATTAAAATTAATCGTATTTTACTTAACATTTCACTCCAATGAATATGTTAGCCATAATTGAGCTCACCCAATACCTGCTTACGAGGCATTGCTCTCTGATTTAGGGAATGAAAGTCCAAGGTGCAAAACTCTTGCTGATTCTTTGTATAGTTCTCTTCCCTGTTCAGGAATAGAATTAGTACTGAAGTGGGTCATGTACAAACCACTAATGCGAGTCATGAATTTCAAATTTATAAAAATCTCAATAATGTACTATCTGCCTGGAAAATAATACGTTGAGCATTATGTCTATTTGATTTAAATTCACCTGATATATTTATATGCCACTGAATTACTCGCATGTTAATTCACTTCATTAGCTTTAACATAAATTATTCAAGTGCCATACAGACATTTTGAAAAAGCCACTCTATACTCATATTTTCCATTAGAAAAGAGGTAACAGAAAACAAACAAAAAAATGTCATTAATACCAAGATAAATGGTATTTTTCTTCATCGTCATCATTCCAGTAATTGGATGGCTGGAAATGTGAAGTTAGGATGCGTTCCTGCCAGAGTAATCACAAAGACCCTCTTTCAGCAAAATACTTCTGACGTATATAAGCACAGACACTATAATATTGCTGCTGCTCACTTCTGCAATCGACGTTTCCACTTATTATAAGCACAGACACTATAATAATGCTACCGGCTCACTTCTGCAATCGACGTCTCCACTCATTATAAGCACAGACACTATAATAATGCTACCGACTCACTTCTGCAATCGACGTCTCCACTCATTTTGAGCAGGCACAATAATAATGCTACCGACTCATTTCTGCAATCGTCGTCTCCACTCATTTTGAGCAGGCACTATAATAATGCTACCGACTCATTTCTGCAATCGACGTCTCCACTCATTTTGAGCAGGCACTATAATAATGCTACCGACTCATTTCTGCAATCGACGTCTCCACTCATTATGAGCCGACACTATAATATTGCTACTGACTCACTTCTGCAATCGACGTCCCCACTCACTGCCCTATAGGAATTCCTTTATTCTCGATCTATTAAAGTTTCCGCGTATAATACAAGTATAAAAATATGATCTATTCCTAGTGGTGATACACTATTACTGAAAGACTGACAGACAAAATATATATGCGAAATTTAGTTCAATATTTTTTATTGCATGGGATTTTCATAGCTATGAAATTTCAAATCTGAAAAAAAAATCTTATTTTTTCAATTTTTTGGAAACTTTTTATATAATTTACAAACTTTTTATATCATTTACATACATATTTTTCCATCTTAAACGAAAAATTCCTAATTGTTCACACTTTCTTACATGATATTGACAATAACTGTATTTTATGAAATTATGAAATAAACTAAACCAGTTTGGACGGCCAAAATATCGAGGCCAGAATTTAAATTTCATTTAAATGGCCTGCCTAACTGAGAATTGCAAACTAGTGAAAAATGCGTTGTGTGTTCTTGCAAAGCGGTCAGAAAAGTAAAACTTTGAACTTCATTAACAAGATAAAATCGTTTGTCCACAAACAGGTGGCCAAACTCCAATGTTGTTATTGCTGCACTCGAGTATCTCTTATCATAACAAAAGCTCTGCATGCAGCTAGTAATGTAAAGAAAGGCAATTGCTATGCATGTCAATAACAATTTAATTTGTGCAAATTTTATACCGGCTCCACAGCAACATCATCAACTCGGGTGAACTGAGGCAGAAAACGTTTACAACATTTGATGGTGCGTAAAAAGAACGCTGTTTGACAAGTTGGAAACACAATTAGTAAATTATTCGGAAACAATACATTAAGTTTCAATGCATAAATTTGATTCATGCAGTTGCTTGATAATTGAAATTTTAAATATGTTACATTTCGTCATTTACTGTTCATTTTGCAATGAACGCTCTTCGGTGAAGATATAAGATTGGATTTATTTATAAACGTTTGATAATTTTCTGAATCGTAAGCATGGTGATTGTTGAACTAATTAAATTTCTTATTCTATCCACTAACAGAAAATGCTACTGCATTTGCATTTTTTTTTTTTTGCATGTAACTTTTTTTCAAACCTGTACACACCTAGGAACACCTAGGAGTGCACATTCCGTTTGATGCATTATAATACATCAATTAAATTCTCTTCGTCTGAATTACACACGATACCGAGAAGAAGCAGTTGACTGGCCATAAAACTGCGGAAGTTCATTTTTTCTTATTCAACCTCGTTTTATATAAACTGACAAGCATCCGTAGAGTTACACGAATATGTACAGTTATTTTTCATTCAATTTCTATTTGAATTTAACATAACCGAGGCAGCGAGTGAAAATATGAGCGAAGAAAGTAGTAGACTGCACTAGCTGTGAGCCATGACGGTCACCTGCGTCAACTCACCCGAGGCTGCGGGCGAGATTATGAGCAGGGAGAGGCAGGCTGTGCCGTAGCTGAGAGCCATGACGGTCACCTGCGTCAACTCACCCGAGGCTGCGGGCGAGAGTATGAGCAGGGAGAGGCAGGCTGCGCCGTAGCTGGGAGCCATGAAGGTCACCTGCGTCAACTCACCCGAGGCGGCGGGCGAGAGTATGAGCAGGGAGAGGCAGGCTGCGCCGCAGCTGTGAGCCATGACGGTCACCTGCGCCAACTCACCCGAGGCGGCGGGCGAGAGTATGAGCAGGGAGAGGCAGGCTGCGCCGTAGCTGTGAGCCATGACGGTCACCTGCGCCGGGTCGCCACCGAACCTGCCTATGTTCTCCTGCAGCCAATGTAACGATGCCAGCTGGTCCATCAGACCGTAGTTAGCGACGATCGGGCGCGAGCCTGGCTGCATCGCGTTGAAAAATCCTGCAAAAAGTATACTGAGCCATCAGTTTCCTAAAACATTGAAGGATTCATTTCTTGAAATACTGGTATTTTTAAAGCCTATTAATACCATTTAATGTTAAAAAAATTGATTCGTTACGTTTTCATTCCCAGATCAAACCCTTTATTGACCACTGATGAGATTTAGTTTCTTTACATTTAAATGAAGAATCGCATAAGTTATAAATCTAAACCTGAATAAATTTTTCAATTTTTCGTTAATGAGCGGAAAAAAGTATTACTGCATTCTCTGGGAAAAATTATTCCTGGCGCCCCGTAATTAAATTTTCATTCATTTACATATTAATGCACCAAGTAAATTTCAGAATTAATTGTATACCATTTTAGCAGACATATAAACGTGTGTCGAGCAATGCAGTCATCTCATATTTTCGAACAGTTTTTTCAATCTCGTAAAAGATGTAAAGTTAGGGAATTTTACAATGATTGCAGCAAAATAATGATTGATTTGCGGCAGCGTTCAGCTCAGTGGGCCTGGAAATCCATTGCATTATCGTCCTGCGAGATAATTCGTCCTGAATTACGTGGCTATTAAAGGAACGAATCGAAGTTTCATGCCCGCTCACAATGCACCTATAATTCCATGCACAATCCGATGTCAAAGCCGCACAGAAGAATTTATTACTTCATATTATTCTATTATTCTCTGTAAAAGGTTTAAATCTTAGTGTGAGCTCATTTAACCACTGAATTCACCATATTAATCCTTTTTTACCCGATACATCATCCAGAAATTAAATTTAAAATACCCCTTTAGTCTAGGGTAAACACGCTTTTTTGAATCGTAAAGGGAAAGGCGGCATTGAAATGTTTGCCCTCATATTTCTGATTAACTCAAAATTTGATCAAATTTTATTGTCGCTCCAGTCATTTCAATATAAGTCAAACAAGAAAACTTTCTCTAACTCACAGTTGAGGAGCAAAAGACACAGCACCAGACGGTGGCTTGGACTCACCCAACACCCCGACCGCTGGCTTGGACTTACCCAACACCACGACCGCTGGCTTGGGCTCCCCCAACACCCCGACCTCTGACTTGGACTCACCCAACACCCCGACCGCTGACTTGGACTCACCCAACACCCCGATCGCTGACTTGGACTCACCCAACACTCCGACCGGTGGCTTGGACTCCCCCAACACCCCGACCGCTGGCTTGGACTTACCCAACACCCCGACCGGTGGCTTGGACTCACCCAACACCCCGACCGCTGACTTGGACTCACCCAACACCCCGACCGGTGGCTTGGACTCACCCAACACCCCGACCGCTGGCTTGGACTCACCCAACACCCCGACCCCTGGCTTGGACTCACCCAACACCCCGACCGCTGGCTTGGACTCACCCATCACCCCGACCGCTGGCTTGGACTCACCCAACACCCCGACCGCTGGCTTGGACTCGCCCAACACCCCGACCGCTGGCTTGGACTCACCCCAAACCCCGACCAGTGGCTTGGACTCACCCAACACCCCGACCACTGGCTTGGACTCACCCAACACCCCGACCCTGTAGTTGAGGGTTGCCACCAGCACATGGCCGTGGGAGGCGAGGTAGGAGCCGTCGTACAGGCTGCCTGCTCCCCAGTCAAAGCTTTCCCCGTGCAAGAGAACAGTCACGGGCAGCCCCTTGGCTCCATCTTGTGAAGATAGATGAATAAATTATTATTATTATTATTATTAATTATTATTATTGTTATTGTTATTATTATTATTATTATTATTATTATTATTATGATTATTATTATTATTATTATTATTATTATTATTATTATTATTATTATTATTATTATTATTATTATTATACGAAGCATATGTCGTGGCGTCTGGTCCAAACGAACTTCGAGGGCACGTAATACATAAGATTGAGATTAAGATGTGTTGCTGCTGTAAAGGCTCCTATACGTGTTGGTAGACGCTAGATAATCAAATAAAAAGGTTTGTGGAATAATTGAAGAGGAATTCTTAAGCGCTAATGCATGGTAAATTATTAGAACTTTATAAGTAACAAGGACTAGTAGAAAAATTGGGGTAAAATTTCCGACAAATTAGTACAACTTAATAAACAACATAGATCTAAGGGTAAATTTTGATGTGGTTTCCATTCACCAATGCATTTAAAATAACTACAAGTTATTGACCATCAAAATAATCACGACAAAATATAAACATTATCCGCTCACTTACGAACAGCATCAATCAATATAATGTTTAAAAGGTCATAAATTTTCCTGAAAATATCAGAGCTTTCCCATGCGTAACTGACGCTCAATTCGATTTTAAAAACATCCTCGAGCCAAATATCCAACTTCATGTTATCGCAAAAATATAAAGAATATATTTTTGATTTTGTATACACTGCAAACAAATGGAAATTGCGATCTGCTAGGAAGAAACTCATCATTATCCGTTTAATTATTCGATGAATATTTTCAAACAATTCATTTTGATCTATATATAATTCATTTGATATGAGTGAAATAATGGAAAAACACTTCAGCATTAAAAAAAAAACCTAATTACTTTCGGAAATGATTGTGCGTATATTCTGACAATACTCAAAACAAGAATTCGCCAGTTCTCGAAAAGTCTATGATTGAACTGAAAATGATATTGAAATTTAATCATTGAGAGTGAGTTATAAATTCATTATGTCCGCAGTTAAATTATAATTACTTTTAATCAAAAATTGGCTCCATAGTGAATAATAATTCATTGCATAAATAGTCTTGTATGATGGATTCAGGAATTCGATGTTGAAGGACTGCTAACCGAAAAATTCAGCAATTCACATAGCATATACCTCCATTCATACTAGCTACTTCTTATTTTTGTTAAACATAGACTTAATGAACACCAGCGCTTCAGGTTATGATCTGAAGCTTCTCGATTACATTGGCGCCGAATATAAAATAAATATTTTTCTTTTTCTGTTCGTTTGAACGCACGACATACATAGAGGTCAGGAATAATTTTAAAGAAGTCTTGTGGTACTGTACAAGTAAAATTTAGTACATGAGTTCATGAACTTTCAAGCAACTTTGCTTGCATTCATTACCTCAATGTAGTTAATTACCTCAGGCTTCTTTGAATGACTAAAAAAGCTTCTTATGGTGATTCAGTTTAAGAAGAACTACCCCTTAAACAACATTCTCAAAACTTTAATTAAAATTCAAAAGCTAAATACCAAGGAACCAAATGATCTTACTATTACTATTTAAAACGCTTAACAAGTCTTTCAACTTTAGCAGAGATGAGCGAACATGCATAGCAATGAATTGTTGTGTAGTTTGGCAAAAGTTTTTCTTTAATGTAGGTTTCATTGAATTTAATTACATATAGTTAGATAGCAATGAATAGTTAGATATCTTCAGAACTTGCATCTCTAATTGAAACTGAGTAGAGCCTGGAAAGAAAGTAATGAACTTATTTAAAAAAACATGACTTAAGCGGAGGCTGAATCTCATTAAAAGTGAATCGAGCGCACGAATGTTTTTTTAATTCAGTAGTTTTTTCATGAGATTCTTATATGATGTTTCTACACTTAAATTTTACAGTTTTTAATTATTTTTGGTTAAATCTTTACGTCAGAATTCAACTGCAGGCAGATAAGCAAGGCTGCAAACTTTTTGCCAATGAACTTGAGATGAAAAACATGTTTTGCACAAATGTTTTTTAGCTGTAATGAATACACGTAGAAGTTTTCGAATTCACAGATTAGGGCATTTTAGATATATTTTTATCCACATTTTTATTCATGAAGCATTGATTCAGAATCAATCTTGGTGTGCAAATCACCGTCCTCAAGACTCGCCAATGATGCTCCGAGCATTTTTTCTCAATGCCATGCGAATGCGAAAGGAAGTCGCCTTACTTCCTGAGCAGAACTTTCCATCCTTAGAGCAACTTACAGAATATTACCTTATATTTGCATACGAAATTGCTTCCCTTTAGGTAAAGTTTCTCTCTTGAATACCTGCTTATCAGGCAAAATTAACATAAGCTTCAAGTCAAAGTTAACTTCTAGTTTAGCCAACGGAAAATCATCACAGAAAGAATGCATATAAGTGTCATATTTTTCTTTGCGGAATCTCTAAGGAAAATATTTCGTGAATTCGTTCTTTGCAAACTTCGCCTAAGATAGCGAGCAGTGAAGGAAATTGGGATGGATGAAATAATTCGCGTTGAGTCATATCAAGAGCCAGTCAAGAATTTTTTTCTCGTAAATTGACGGCAACTATAAAAATGCAACTGCTGTAAATAGATTGATTTTCAGTAGCTGAATGTGACGGAGTTTCGGGAACTTATTCAAACTTTAGCGACGGGCTGACTGCCTATAGTGATAACGTTAAAGGAAACACAGCTTCAAATTGTAAGAAGTTAATGACATTTTATTCACGGAATTGTGCAAATCAAAGAACGGAAAAATCTCAATATGGGACTAAAGCTTTCTTTAAATCTATGAAAAAAATGCAAAACTTCTTGAATTGCAAACACATGCACATCCTCAGTCCGTATTAGCGACAAAACTCCCACCTCCCGCTGGCTTTACGAAATGTATTTACGACATGTTAATGCAAAACAAGATAATAATAGCATTCAAAAGTGGTGAACGATGTACAGCTAATTTCAACTAACTTGAATGCATGTCTGATATCTCACCTGGAACATATAAGTTGAGGTAAAGGCAGTCTTCGCTCTGCCTTTGCAAGAGGCTCATGTATTTCTTGGGCGGGTTTTGTGGACAGGCTGGCGGCATGACGGTCGCATCTAATATGCTTCGCCATTGTGACGGAGCTCTTGTTGGGCTAAGACGGTTGCCGGCAATCGGAGGTGTTGCATACGGAATGCCTAAATACTTGGCCACACGTCCCGCCCCTGGAATGTGCTGGTACACACCTCTTAGTTGCCCGTAGCGTGTACTTATCACTGATGTGTACTCCAATGTGCTTATTCCAACTAGTAGGTTTGTGAAGAGCGTCAAGTGTACAATCAAGCCAAGAGGCGTGTGACTTGTTAAGCAATTATATGGACCGAACAAAAGTGAGGTCTGCATTTTTTACCAGATCCAAAATTCAGGAAGAGTTCGAAAACAGAGCAGGAATATTCGTATTATTGAAAATTTGCAAACCATTCAATTCGCTAAAAAGGGCGTTCCTGTGTAACAGTTATATTGATTTAATTTCGGCTGAGGACAAAATAATTCGTTATTAATAATTTGTTCTTAGCAACTACCAGGAAAAATTTCATTGCACGACAATAATGGAGAAAAATGAACAGGCTGTGTATCGCTCCAGAAATGTCTGTTTTCGGAAAGATGGCGGCCATTCCTGAGTCTGAACATGTTTCCAATTATTGTTGTTTGCTCTTGGGCTGCGGTGTTTGTTTCAGGAGCAGCGATGAGGGACAAGTCTGTCTCAAATCCAGCAAGCGAACTGCAAAATAAGAGAGAAGTTTGAGTCAACAAATGTCTCTCAATAAGTTTGTTTTCAAAACAATCCGAAATCTTTTAGTTGGTTTCGAAAATATTGGTTGTAAGCTCAATCTTCAAACACAAAATAAATCGCTCAAAAGCAGTTGGGATTACGTGTTACAAACTTATTTAGAAAACTATAGTGTGTTTCCTTGAGACAATATACGTTTCCTTGCCTAATGATATTATTCAAGTTAGAAATTGTATCGGCTAGAATTTCAGATGAACGTAACGAAGCCCTGAAATGAGAATAGTCAATAAACATTTAACTGGGATTTTTTCAGAGATTTTTCGATCCTGATTCCGAATTTATACTAGAGAATTCAAACTATTCATATTCATTTTGATTTTCCTCGCAAACAAATTTCGCGTATCTGTGCAAAATGAATGCGACGTATTTTCAGCCCCCTTAGCGACGGCTTGAGTTAAGTTTAAAGCTTGCGCCCCGAGACGAGTTTCTTGTTTGCAAAATTTCAGCTCCTAATTAAGATGAAGTTGACACACTATGAGCGGCAAGTTGCTCAGTCGAGGTTGCACCGAACTGAGCTGTTGATTTTATGACACACCCCTGATTTGTACGCTACGCGCTTGCTATTCTTTGTAGTAAACAGATTTCATCCGTAGTTAATTACGGGGTTTAAAGTGCAAGCAAATGCATTAAAAGCTTGCGCGGTTCAGAAATATAACATAATTAATGGATGGATTCTACGTAGATTTATAATTATATACGAGCTAAATGAATTGGGCAGATTCGATCTCTTGGAGCAACTCCTGGGAGAAATTGGCTAAAATATACTAGCAAGTGGGAAGAAAGGAAACTAGCGTTACTTTATTGCACAAACAAACGATTCGCAGCTTGTGCGGAGCCGTATTAATTTATGCCTGAATCTAAAAAAGAATTTCTCAAACACCAGGATATTCAGTGATAGAGATCACCGTTCAATCCTGATGGAACTTTCTGTTGCGCCTTTCCTAAAATTTTGTGCTGACGGCCGCGAATCCTAGGATTATTCGAACGTCCATTATCACGGCGTTCGTTCTTATGTTCACTCATCCTTTTCCGAACATCGGCCTCTCTATATTTCACGAAGAAGATTCAGTAACTGAAGACTTTTTTATTCCCAGCTCGGAGAACCTGCAGGCGGTAAAAGATACTCGGAAATTCGATTCCGCATGAGGCAGATTTTGTTGAAGGTTCATCCACAGTTTCTTGCTCGGCCCATAGCACGATGGTTTGTCGATACTCTTTATATATGACATGCGAACGCCTGCAAGCGTATTGGTTTTCGCTCAAATGCAATTGTTGCGCTCGCACACCGTGCAGAAATTTCCGAGATGTTACTATAAGCCCTTGGCAAAAAGTTCTTGTAACCAGAACTCTAGGAATTCTTGCCGAGTAACGGCAAACTTTCGATAACACTCAAAAACAAAACTGGCCTAAAAACTGTGTTTATATCGCAAACAGTAAACGAATGTTATGAAAGCGTCATTTCTTCGATTCTATCCTAAAAAAATTGAGTCGAGTAAGTTAACTTAAAATTGCAACCAAAACATTCTAACTTGCGACGATTACTTTCTTTTCCCTTTTCTTACCGGTGATGAAGTTTCAAAAAACGTGGCACAGTGGTTACAGCAACACAAATTCTTGCCGAATTAAATTCATTTCCGAACATTCAACCGTCAAATGATGGCTGTCAGGATTTTCTCGATTCGCTATGACCTTTGAAAACTTTAATTATTAACCCGCCTGTCAATCTATTTTATGATCACATCTAAATTGAAATAATTTTTAGTCTAGCCCCGGTCAGTCACTCCCCAGCTCTAGATTAAACTTTTTCTTTTTTTGCTCTCTTTGTTTTCTGGTGGTCTATTACTGAAACATGCATCAGACGGGATGCAGAAATCAAGAATCAGACCAAAATTTTATGCCCGAACTTCTATGCCTTAATAATTTTATGTGTGGAATTTTTTATTTCTTTGATTTATGCATTATACGACCTGACTTGACTCAATTAATGCCCACTTTATGAGAGTGCTCTGCTATATATGAAATACAATACAGAAGCCTAAAGTTCCTTTTTACGCCAAATGAGAAATAAGTAAAATTGAAAATTATTGCAATTGAATCAAGTAGATTGTCAAGAATTTTTTGTTGGTTTCTGGAGAAAAAATAGGACAATGAAAAATTTTCCGCAAATTATTATCACTAATTAATCAGTTATAATAATTATCAATACTAATTTGTTATTGATACTTCTCTTGCTTTTTGATACAAGAAGGATCATACATGTGATCCGGCTGAATAAAAAAAATTTTTGTGCAGTCATGGGGTGAAATATTTACGGTGATAAATAAAATAGACGTGGTGATACAAAAAGCTGCATTATTACATCTTATTTCATTAAAAGACGAGAAATTTGATAAAATTCATAACCTCACATAATTAATTTTCTCAATTCTCAATTTGTACGCTCTAGCAAATTACATTAGGCATAAGAATCGGCAAAGTTTTTCTTTATTATTTCAAATGAAAAATTTGCAAACGCCTTTGCGCATTTTATTTTAGAATGCAATTACTAGTTCTTCACTAAATTTCTTTTTATTTAGTTCTATAATCCTAAACTAGCTTCCTTCCTTGCGTTTACCCAATTTACTCCTGTAATTAAGACCAGGAATAAACCTGAAACACACAAGTGAAGCCCCTAGATTAAAATTCTTTCATCCGGTGAACCCGAAAGAATCAGAAAGGAACCGATTTGAGTTATGGGCTCTGGACCCAGCTTTTAGTTCTCGACCCAATCCAAGTTTGTCCGCGAGTTTTCAAGGCTTAAAAGCCAGCAGTGAACAGACGCGAGATTACACCACGACGAGGAAGCTGTCATTACAGCTGGCCTTACGACGGCCTCTGAATGAAGACTTAATGACAACAGGTGTAACATCATTTCATTGCTTAATGCTTTATTTACCTAATCTGAGATTCTGGACATAACATAAAAAAAGGTTTTGTATTATTGGAAAAATATTTCTCAAGTTGATTACTTTCATCAATTAAGCGAATTTTAATGATTATGAATTTGGTGTTTTTTTAGATTTATTTAATGAGCCAGTCACAGTCAGATTGCGAATTATTTCAAATTTCTCCTATATAGAAACTATTGATTGGTAAAACTTCCGAAAATATTTCATATACATATTTTCAGAATATATTTTAAGTCATCTGTTAAATTAAATGACATCAAAATATATTAAAAGTGAAAGAAAACGATAAGCTTCTGGCATTAAAAACTTTAAATATTTTTCTTAGCTTTCATGCCAGAACTTTTCTAAATTCAATCTGTCAGCTTTGCATTGAATCTCGGAAAGAAAAAATGTTAAATGTCGGCAAATCCGTTTCTTAATTTCATTGTCTCTAAATAGTTTCAGACGATCAGGAAAACGCGACAGTATTCGAAGCTCAGATGGGGCATGATTATAATTATACAGTCGAATTAGACTGAAGTGAAGGACATTTATTAGATTTAAAAAAAGTATTATTGGCAGAAAGAGAAGATAAGTTCAATTTCTGCCAGCCAAATTTCCTGTTTTTTACGCGTTTATAAGAAACTTAAACACATCCAATGTGATTAATAATTTTAATCTGTATACAGAACGCTTTCAGTCTTCTTTTCCGAGTAGGAACTCCTGCCAAGAAACTGGTGTCGTGTCCCGAATGATCCTCAGTTGCCAGGAGTGACTTGCACATTCAGAAGCACGGCTGCTAACCGGCCCCCGGGAGTCGCTGCGTGGAGCATCGCATGCGATTTATGACGAATGTGTCTAGCCCCGGAAAACAGAAATTTGATATTCATAGCACTCGACGTCATCGAGCGATGATATATTCTTGCAAGTTTCCGCTAGGCATCGAAATGGCGGATAATTTGCGTTTTTCGTCGATGATCCTGAGCCAACGAGGATATTTTCGATGTGACGAGGCAATCGGAAAATTTGATAGTTTCATCGGACGAGAAAAATAATTTTGGTGACGGGGTAGTCTAACCAAGTATTTGAGAAATGCTGATTCCTATCATAGTTATTACTAAAATTCAGGCCTCATAGACCAAATACTGAGTGGATCTTATATTTTATAAGAGGTCGTTATGGAAGGACGTGAATGTCCATGATCGTAACGCTTCCTCGTAAATGCCGTCCTACGAAAGTCGGGTCTCAAATTTTTTTCTTTTTTAATGCTGTGCATCAAATTTTTATATCAGCATAGTATGGTTGGCGGAATAAAGGATATTTTTAAGGGTGGAACGGCAATTTGAGGATACAAAAATTCAGTTGAATGTTTATACTTTGCAGTGGGTTGTAAAAATATGAATATCAAGCACAATTCCAGAAGTTTTTACGGCATTAAAAATATTTGCTTGTGTAAAATATATTCGGTAGAACTTCCCCAGACATTTTCAAAAATATTTCGCTCAATTGGGAACTCCTGAAAATTAAATGTGCGAACTAAAATATGCATGATCATAAAAACTTATTTTAGACTATGGTATTTCGAGAAAATTTGAAGCTCTCTGTAGCTGTTTCTTCTCCCGCCTTCTTCCATAAATCAATGTTTTCCAAAAGTGCTGCATTTCTGTTTCAAACTCGAAACGTAATACTTTTACCATCTGGAAGGCAGATTTTCCTCAAGCTCCATTAAAAAACTACGGATTCATATACCGTGTTTCATATTTCTCGGATAATTACATGAACAATGCTTCGGGGAACTAATGCTCATAGAAATCATATTATTTTCTA